GACGACCAAACTGGGTGCCGTTGGTCCGTCTCGTTTTTCGGGGCTGGAGTCCATGTGACTGGCCTTGTGCTTGGCTCGAGACTTTATAGGACATGACTCGCAACCGACACCCAGTGGCGCGTCTGCTGCCATCTGCTAATTGGATTGCCTGTTTAAAGTGTGTTTGGTGCTGAGTTATCTGCGGGGTGGGGACTGATTATGTAGCGGGGCAGTGGAAGCCGCAAAGAAGCTGTCTCACCGATGCCACCTTATCTTTGCACGATAGCCAGCTGTTTGTGACGGTATGTTGTCTACACAAGGTGTAGGCGCCTTGACCCTGAACGCCTGCTTAAAGCATTAAGGTTTTTAGGTAAGTCTTCCTTCCCTCTTCTTATTCTTTATTTCATAGGTCGTTATAGTTGCACGGCAGCGAAGCATCAGTTCAAATGGCTGATGTGCTGCTGTTGATGATGATGATGTGGCTGACGATGTCATTAGCGACCAAATAATAGTCCATACGCTCGATGTAATAGTTCCAGGAATCGGATCCCTCAGTTTACCATCCTAATTTTCTGCTGGAGACCATGGGTTCGACAAGCCATCGCCAGTATTGTAAAAACACAAAAACGCGAAGGACACAGCTGTAATGTGTACACACGACCAAGTCACTGATTCGCTTGATAACGGACATTTACTCACACACGTGAGCACTTGTACAGAATCGTAGACCTTGGTCTTCAACTGTTTCAAGGTGAACAAAAAGTCGACTCAATCGGTCGCTTTTGACTGCCCATGGGAGAGAGACCCGACCTCTCATGTTTGACGTTTTTGCTCTTTGGTCAAAAGTCCTTCGTCGACCATCAATCTCGGAGCACTTTTTTATACCTTTTATGGTGAATGTGGAATTTTCACGAAAAATTGCCATCTCAGCATTAAAAAGAACCAAACAAATACCATTCAGGGAACAATGCCAGTTTGGTTCAAATAGAAAAATAAAGCGGTGGTCTAAATGTGACCAATTGATTACCATTACTTCTTGTCATATTTATACAGTAATAAACATGATAGTAATGATGACTTTTCTTCGTTTGTACAACGAAGAGTAGACAATTGATTAGATCATTTAGGTTGAGATCGCAGTTTCAGACGATTGATCATGTGCTTTAAATCATGAGAAACTGCTCACTTTGTTCGATTCCTTCCTCTCTGCTGAATGGCCATAGCGATTGCAACGAATGTGCTATTTTCTTTGTTGTACACATAGGTCGGGTCTTGTTAGTTGTAGGCATTCCGCCACTGCAGTAGCAGCCGGCCCGTGGCCAAATGAATCACAAGCCTGCCTTGTAATCCTATGACGTGGTTTCGAACTTATATAGTGGACCGGGCGACCCTTGCAGTATCCTTAGCCCACTCGTGAATATGGTTCGTTATTGTGCTGCCATTTGTTTCATCTTCGTGGTTGTTGAGCCAACTTGGGAGATGTTTCCCTTACCCAAGTGTCTGGTCGTACGTCCGAGGTATGTTGAACCACAGGGACAGGTAACCAGGTGGTTGGATGTGGTCAGGCACCTGATCTTTGACTCTGGGAGCAATTAGTGGCTTACTCGTAAATATCATACTCAAGTGAACCTTGTTGAAGGTCATCTTGCCGCTTTGCACTAATCGACGTGTGCAGACCTCAGCAACACTGTTTCCAATGAAACAAAGAGAGTCCGTAGCAGCTGTTTCTTTGAGATCATTTGCTCTGGCATTTTTGGACTGTTTCGCTTCATATGAGTTCTGTGTCCGGGGACACAGATCGAAGCCGTCACATTCGAAAAGTCACCTGCACGCTGATCACGGATCGACAATTCAATCAGCGAGATTCCACTCCACATCTCAACGCACTGATGATGCCGCCTCGCATGGCGGTGAAACGTTTGCAAGCAAATCTCCCAGCTCGGTGAACAAATGAGCAACTACATGCTACCATGTTTGATAGTCAAGTTACCTATCTTGCGATACATAGCTTGCCAGACTGACCATTGAATGAAACTTACATTTCTTCCCAGTGTTTTCGTGTCTTGATATGCTTTTTGTATGCCTTCAATATCATTTCCTTCTTATTTTACCAAAGCTTCTGTTTCCAAGATATCTGATCGTTTTCACTTGGATTCTGACCGTTCTACCAATGCCGTTTGATTTCGCTGGATACATTCAGGGATCGTCCTAGCTCGCCTATTATGCCGCAGGATAGTCGGTGGCTCAGCGAAGAGAGCTGGCTGTGCACCAGGAACTTGGCCGATTCATAGCCTGCGGCACAACCTCCTCGTGGTGGCAGTTAGGTGGTTTGGGTTTATCCTGTTCCAATAAATGGTTCGGTGGCGGTGCTTTCATGCGTGGTGGGTTTTTGCTTCGCTAACGTTCACCTCATAAAAAGCCACAAATACCCATTTAACAGCGCTGCGATGTGTCTGGTGTGACTCACCCCTACCTGAAGTCACTGCCGCTTCCTTCATTTCTAAGGGAACATTGTAGTCCAGTAAATCGTTGCCCACATCGCGGAGTGTATTTGGCCCCCGTTTGCCAACTCATAAAACCGAAGTCGTATGAACTGCAAAATCGGTCACCCGCCCCCAGTGCGGTCCTCTGACTTCGCTCCTCTGCCTCGCAGGAGAGCTATTTCGTCAAAGGCTTGGGGTGGTGTCAACTCTAGTTCGGCTTGAGAAACTGAATAGTATCACACCCTATGAAGAAACCATAGGTTGTTCCTTATTTTGCTTTCCGTTTAACGATAACTGCACTCTCGTTTCCTTTCCTTTTCAATGTGCCCATAGCTGTTCACTAGATTGTTGCATATATATATATATAAATATTTATATATATATGTATATATATATATACCGCATCTCTTTTGTTGATGCGCAACTTAGACCGTGTACTTAAAAGCGCCCTTTTCGCTCTAAAATCCCCATACCACGGCTGCCTGGGTCATAACTTCGCTACGGTTACTGGTGTACATCGAGATTGTCTTCTCTTTCTTTCTCTTCAACTTCCAATCGGAACGTTCATTGTTGATGTGTTTTTAAGTCACCGTTGCGTGGGATGCAGTTACGGACGGGCTGGCGACGACTGACATTCGTCTGCTCCACGTACCATTCCGGTTACTAAATCAGTCGAGATTCTCTCCCAAGTAGATAGCAGTTCAGATCAAGTTGCCATGTCTCGATCTATCGACGCAACTAGCATTTCAGATGAGCCAACTCTTGTGACAGTCGTCGCCCGCGGAGCTCGCTAACTTCGTCAGCTAGTGGCCCCGGTTCTGTCTGATGAGTGCAAACAGGTGGAGTGCGCAGTGGGGGACGGGGAAAGATCCGAAGAATTATCTGCCTCTCTCACATCTTCCACCTCTTCTAGGGTATCGGATCTGTTGGGTAGCCACTTACCTAGCCCAGAGTACGCAGATGGCGTAGCTCCACGCAAGCGCCCAGGTTTACTGCCCCATGCCTTGTCGTGGGCCTAGTGTCTTCACATTGCAAAGCAGTCTTACTGGATTGTGCCATTGCGCCAGCATTCCTCGCTATTATTAGGGAACCGTCCAAAGAGATCGATCGGCTTACCTATTCATGAAGCTGCATTACTTGTGGCGATTTTTGCTTCTCACATCAGCAAGGTTCATGTGGCTTACAATGCCTCTATCGCTTATGGAAATAGTGGATCATTGGCGCATTGCTCACTGGAATAACTTACAACGAGGCGGTTTGGTCAATGTCACTGCATGGATCTCCGACATTTTCATTGCACGCTGCGGGCATCGACGGTCCGGCTGTGTTCGGTCTCCGTTGACTGCCTACTTATTTTCATGACTGCTGCACACGGCGAATTAAAATGCACCATAGCTCACCTTTTGATGTTTGACACTTGATTTTGTGCTACACCGGACTGCTTTACCGTGGAACCTCATGCTTCACGTCCTCTGCTTGTCCGCTGGCAGGCTGTCTTAGCGTCTTGTTAGATTGGACCCTGATATGGTCAGCGACATGGCAAAACAGCATGAATTGGCGTGCGGAAGGCATCTGTATTTGTCGTCTTTCCGATTGACACTTTCAGGGTCATCCACATTAGTGACTAAACGCTCTATGAGGTAAGGCCAACCTATCCGCCCTATTACTCGGTTGACTTTCACACTATTTGATTTTTAGTGGCCAAGATTGGTCTGTTTGTATTTTTATGACGACCTACCATCACCTTCTTGTGACCTTGGTTTCCAACTCTTTCCCATCTCACTCCCATTCAGCTCCGACATCCACGGCAGAGGCGAAAGATGCATCTCTGTTAGCCGTTTCTCCGGCGCGCGTCCCAAAGACAAAAGCGACCAACGCAAAAGTCGCTTGTCCTCCTCATCACCGCTGTGTCCTACAAAATGGCTACCTGGACGCTAGCAAAGCCAAGCGTGTATTTCGTGAGGACCCCAACTGGTCCGTTGAGAAGGGCCTTTTGCTCAAACGCCGAGCAGAGCTGATTGCCACGTTGGTACGCGTGCTCACCTGTCGTTCGCTTCGCGTCCTTCTACCGCGCATTTTAATGCGATCCGCTATCCCCTCACGTGTACATCGTCTGATTGTGGAACATCGCTTGCGAGTTATGCCTTTTCTTTTGTTTGATTGCGCTTGATTACATGTGTGCCGTTTGACTGTTGAATGACTGAGCCCTTCGAATAAGTACACGCTTAGCTGCGGTTGTCACACGCACACGCTGTTTGTGCGCTCAGGCTGCTGGTCTATAGGTAATCGCAGAACATTCTCCGGGCCATTTGGGTATGCTTTGAGTCCTCGATCTTGCATATCCACTGCTTCTCTCTTTTCATTTATTTAGGTGATTTCTTTAATTTCAATCACTTCATGGCTCATGACTCTCATACCCTAGCGCGCGGTAATTTTCCCAGCCTCTAACCTCTATTTTCAGTGGATGTCATGACCAGGGGGCCATATCTCGGCTGGTCTCTCCTTAGCGAATCGATCCTTTTGTTTATAGCGGTTATTCAAGAAATCTAAGCCCAAAGACAATGGCATGTTTTCTTCTACTCGGTGGCGATTCCCGTCGTTCGTTCTAATATCATCACCCTGGGATGCGTTTACTTCAACTACTATGTCATATTACCAGAAGACCCCAATGACCAACAGACTTTTTAAATGACAATAGATTTTCCTGCTGCTGGGGCTAAATTTCTACCATTTTTCACACATTATTTACACCCTACTGATTCTATCTTTGCTTCGCTTTTCTTACGAATGATTGGCTCGGTGTATTCCACTCACATCAACACTCATTTGGGCGTTTAATTTTCGGACAATTCTCCGCGTATTTCGTTCGCGACATACTGTCTTGATTTTGACCACGAATCCTATAGCGGTAGACTTTGGTCATTTCGACTGCTGCGAGGCATCGTTCATTGAGCTCGGCTCTCTCGTGGTGAGGACATCTACCAGTGGTCATCTGTTTCCTAATTCCACCCGGTGATCCAGTCACCCTATCCGAATGTGACTAACAAAGGGCAAACAAGTGGTAGAATGCGTTGTCGAAACAAACGGCAACATAAGTTTATTCAATATACATGCCCACTTTGTCGAAAATTCATATTTTCCATGATCTGAGGGTCCTTTATCATGGGTTACGCGGTGTCAGTCGTATGCGTTCTCTAACGAGATATCGGCTTCCTATGCGTTGGGTCCAAAGTGCCCGCTTTTACCGTGTCGCAGTCGATTATGTGAGCAGTACATACGTGAAGAACAGCTTGGGTTTTGCCCTAGTCTGAGCTGTATTGATCCCATATTTATTGTGAGCCAAATGCCAGAGCACCGTCTAGCTTTCAACTAGTATACCATGGTTTGCTTCTTGGACATATATGCAGGATTTGACTGTTGACGTAGCTGCTCTCTGGCGTTGTCTGTTAAGAAACGGAGTGCCCGAGAAGTATGTTTACATTCTTCAAACCATCTATTTTCGAATCGAATGCGGGTGTAAAGTAGACTCGCTCCCCTTCAGTATATATATATATATATATATATATATATATATATATATGAGGCTGATGTTGCATTCTTGATGCTTCTTCACCGCAGTTGGGCTAAACCAACTTACACTTAAACTAGGTCTTTTTAAACTGGCTAAATTTCGTTCCACTTTATTTGGTTTGTTCTGCCCACCTAAATACTCTTCAGTAATTTTGTTGCGTTTTGTAGCATTTTTAACTAAATTGTGGACATATTTTCCTTACCGCGGATTCCTTGCTAACCAACTTACTTCGTATGCTTATTTAGCTTAGAGTTATGCCACCGTTTCTGTATGCATTATTGGATTTGTTTTATTTCATCTTGTCGTTCCAGGTGATTGGCTGTTGCTTGATATCCCCGGTGTGACTGCACTTGATGTGCATGTTGACAAGGTACCTACATGTCTATTATCCACTACCTCGTCCATACTGGCTCCAGGAGACAGTTGGTCACTGCTGGAGAGGACGAGGTCAAGGTTCTTGTGGTCGTGCAAGGCTTGAAGAATGGATCAATGCACTTAGTGTGGAGCGGGCTACGGTCCAGCCACCGCCTTGTGTGCGACTGATCCCTAAATACAGCGTGCTTGTTTCCCTGTGAAGGAGTGTGGGCCGGCTCCGTTGATGAAACGTGGCTCCCATCCACATGCCTCCCGGTCTTATTCCTTTGGGTTTACACTGGATATGGGGTATGTGGTTAGAGCTGCGGATGGTGCAGCGCAAGCCACCCGTGGTCCCTCTATAGTCGCAGGTGTCCTGTGGCTGGCCACAGTGAAAGGCAAATCCGAAACCGGATGCCGCCAACCAAATATATATATATATATGTACATATATATATATATATAATAGTTTTCGTCCTCGGATGACTAATCCATCAGGTCTCCAACATCAAACCTATACAAACGGAGGAATGTAATCTGTTACCTCTATGTGGACATATCTGAGACGACAACCAGATAGCACCTAATGGTACTCTACAGAGAACTTTGTCTGCAACAACTGACGAACCGGGAGGCACAAGAACGCCAAATAAACGCATATAATGAATGCAGCGCTGAAGTTGTAGGTAACCCCGAGTAGGAAATATATTCCTTTTTCTTTGCAGTTAACTTTCATCCACGCATCCTGCTCAAATTGCTTCCAAATGCTTCGTCACACAGCTGCTTTTATTGCAAGCCGTAGCTGCAAGCCAACCCTGTCCTCTTCAAAGTTTGTAACTTGCATAACGGTGAAGGACGAATCGCACTGCGTCGTTGTTGGATACTAATTTAGCATGACCTACCGCCGTTGCTTTCACCTCGGTGCTTTAAGCCACTGGTGTTGAGAAACCATGAGTTCCGTTTCTAGTGGGTGTGGGATGCATATTTGTGGAAAATCCACATAAAACGAAAAGGCTGTTTGGTATGTATTCAGTTGCATGGAAGCCTGTCTGTTTGAGAGTAAATTACAGTGAGCAAAATTACATTACAAACCCTCCGCTCATTGGTAATCATTGAAGAGGCAGTTGTCTAAGTGAATACGGGAGCGCAACTTATCCAACTAAGAGCAGTATTCGTCATCTACCGTCACACTTCAGGCTACTCACAGGCACAACTTCATTTGGACGGAAACAGTGGTCCTAGCTTACAAATGTAATTCTTCGGTGCTTGATTTTCCACTCAGATTTCGATGAACAGGCTTATTGGCCTCGATCCTATGTCTCAGCAGCCCAGCCGGAGTGAATACATGCATGTTGAAACTTTTATTTGGGGCTGTACAATCTGTTGATTCCAAGACCTACGGAGTGACCCGCGTAATTGGGTTCCGCGTGTACTGTAGCCCCCTCCCACTGAGACGTCACAACAATCGATCGCACGTTATACCAATTTCCTTAGCAACTCATGGTAAACAGAAACATGCCAACCGGGAAGCACTTCGGGTGGTGAACGCTACCAAACACGGAAATGGATTTGAAGACCAACCTAGTGGTCAGCAACATATGTGACCAGATTTAAAAAAGAAAGACAGTACGCCGGTACGCAGTACTGGCACTTCTTTACCACGCAACCACCACCAGTCGCACGTTGGCTAAGGATACTGCGACGGTCGCCCGGTCCTCACGCAGCCTCAAACCCGCGCCCTCCGATTACAAGCTAGGGTTACGCTCCCTAGGGCTACGTGCCGGATTCCCCCGACGAACAGTACTCATTTGCGCTTACACACTAAAGATTTCGCCCCAGTTCACGAACGAATCAGCTCCTGGACAACCAACCGGTACTTCGAAACTGAGAATTTTTCTCTCCTCATTTGTGAAATGGTACTTATGATGTTATCGCTTCCATTAACCAAACACTTTCCTCGTCAATTGTAGACCTGTATGTTAGATTGTGCGCACCTTCCCTCATATGATTTCAACCTTTTCGTTGATCGCTTGGTTCTCACATTCCCCACATTGCTGTCCATTTACGGGGTCGTAAATCGAATTCACCTCATCAGTACGCATGGCGCGCAGTTCATGCTAAGCGTCTGTGCATTCGGGCTAGTTTAAGCGCGCTCACAACGGGGAATGCACCTTCGTTGACGCTGTGCGCACGCGACGCATATTCCTAGCTTTCTTTGAGTACTCTCCACTTTATTCATCCTTGTGATATCATCTGAATTCCGGCCAACCTCTTACCTATTCCGGGCTTCACTAGAGAACTCTTTTATCTATCACTTGCACGTTACCTTTGAAGAGATACTCCGCGCTGTCGCAGAATTTTGGCGAACAGTCTTGGCTCTTTAACACCCGGTTCCAATGCCTCCGACTGCTCAAATGGGACGTCGACGACTTCATCACATACACGGGCATCGTCATTTGGGTTTGCGGACGGTTCCAACTTAGCTGACTCGCAGAAGATGAGTTCAAATACCTGTTTTTCATTTTTGGCCTACAGTTCGCCCATGATGCAGACATCCGAACGCTCATCCTGTCCAAGCTTCAACGGGATAGCACAATCACACTCCAGAAGCTGGCTGAGGAGTGTTAAACGCTGATCAAGCTGAAAAACGACTCCGCTATGATCCAGCACACTCCCACACTTAGGCAGATTCAGGCAGTCACCGCACCCAGGCAGCGATCCTCGAAACGGTCCTTTTAACTCAACCGATCGAAGTTCCAACCCTATCCGTTCCGGTTCTGTGGTGTTTGACATTTCCACCGAGTCTGCAGTTTCCGCCAGCACTGATGCCAGCGTTGTGGCAGGGCGGGGCACCTTGATGGCCACTGAAATCTTCGCCGCACAAGGATGCCAAACTCCGGCTGCCCCCGGCCGGTGGCCGAGTGGTCTGCACGTTTGGTTTGCAACTATAAGATCACCGGTTCGAATCCGCGTAGGGGTGGGCGTCCTCGCGGTATACTCAGCCCGCGCACGACTGGTGGTGGTCACGCGGCAGCGAAGCGCCGTTATGGCGTGTACAGCTGACACATTCGGCTGCCCCCTCTCGCAGACCTGTACATGGCCTG